TAAGCACATTCGGTACCTACTTACCTAATAAAATGACTTTTGTACCTTTTGATAAACCTGCAGTTCTCGTGTCTTGCTCTGCAGATCCAACTTCAGTTCTTCAGTTATTCCTGGATCACAGATGCAGTAAGCAAGGATTTCCAAACAAGCTTCCAGGGGCCATTTATCCAGGCAGCGTAAGGCCAGTCTACTTCTCAACATGGCATCCTTTACTGGGAACAGGTACTGCCAACCATCATGATCTGTAAAGGGAACACAAACTACTGGTATGACATTTAGCTTTTACACTTTGAAAAACCTAGTAACCTGATCACGTGTGACGAAGCATGGAACACAATGATAATGGTGCTTAAAAGCATGCTGGGTTTGTCTTAAGTTACTCAACAGTAGTTAAAAACAAGATACTGCCATTTTGATAAGATTCCAACTGGTCCCTTTCTACAAAGAACATATGCTATAGAGAGGCTTTAAAAATGGAATATAGAAAGGCAGCGGATATTATAGCAACAGTATCACAATCTAAGTCTAAAGAGCTGAACAGGATAGGAGACACTTTATGTGGCAGATACATCCACAGTTACGTTGCAGTAAGTTGTGCTCCTCATTTTTTGTGTGAGTGTTTGTAGTGGGCAACACATACATTTAGACTGAGCAAATTTAGGAAATGCAAGTGGGGAAAGGACTTGTGTTCCTTAGATTTACTAATGTATCATCAATTTAATCCCCAGTTTCAAACCCCTGTTCTGCACTGTATGCTCTACAAAAGAAAAAGAAAACACATTGCATTTACCATCAGCAGTTGCACAGCTCAGTACAGCATCACGCACACTGGCCAGATCCTCCATCTCCTGACTGTACAGGTCCAAGACCTTCAGAGCTCTGGGCCAATCCTTTGCAATGAGAGCTCGTTCAAAGACATCCATTAATACTTCAACTGCAGCAGCAGAATGCATTCCCAGGAGAACCAGAGTTATGTATGTCTTGCCACAAAGGTCACTTACTGAACCAGTGCCTTCCTCTAGGGGGCCCTGAAGTGGCTCAGACATGGTAAGAAGAAAGTGTTCCAATATGGAAAACTCCTTCAGCAATGACTCGCATTCTTTGGAAATCTGTTCCATGCCCAGTGGGATCTCCTTTTTGCCCCGAAATTCCTTCCATGACAGGCTAGGTTTGGGGGGCTTTTGTATCTTGGATGCACTCAGACATGCCACAGCAGCCATTAGTTTTGACTGAGATTTCAGGAAGGTCAGGGAAGAGGCAGTGAGCATATGCTGGTTCAACTCAGTCATGGAGGAAGAGGACTGACTGGAAACATCCTCAAAGTCCACAGCTGGATTGTGGATAGGTATTCCAACATCTGGCAAGCAGTTGTAAGCATACAGATGTGCCAGGCTGCTGACATTAGTCAGAAAGGACCTTGTCTGGCTGCTCTGCCTAGCAGTGCACAGAGGTAGTGGCTCGCAACAACAGTTAACAATAACTTGCTGCACACTTAAATTCAACCCATCTTTAGTCAACAGTGAAGACAGCCTGCAGGATTGAAAACAGCAGATACCTGTTAAAATACTTAACAGTTATATAGTTCTTTTCATAAAAGTTTCTTAAATGTTATTCGAGTCCTCAGGAGCACACCATCCCTTTCAGAGGAAATGGACACACAGCTTGTGCCATGCTCAATATTACTAGCACAGCAATATTCAAATAGCAGAGCTATGAGAAAAATTAAGTCCTTGCTGTCATTTCTCTAGACAGAGACGGGCAGGGGCCTTTACAGAGCAGATGAAGTCAGCACTGCCTTTATTCTTTAATTATCCTGTTCATTAGAGAATTCCAGTCTTGGTTTGAGTCCAGCCCAATACCCACACTAAATTCAACTATGTAAGTGTACTTGCAGAATCTTACCTGTCAGGGGGAACTTGCCTCTCAAACAAGAGCTGGGAGAGTAAGTGAGATGGGCTCTGCTGCAGCAGTATGAAAGGGTTCCCTATCTTCACCTCTGCAGACAGATCTACAGAGAAAGGCAAGAATCTGAAGAGTGACTTTAAACACAAACATGTTAAGTTTATTACATAGACTGAGTTTTGTTCAAAAAAGTTATATCAAACGCTACACATCTGAAGCCTCTCTGCCTAGACTCATCAAGGCCTAAGGTTCACATCAAAAAGTCAACTGGGACCCCATAATGACCTTCTGACTGCTCTAAGATGTGCCTCCCAGTCTCTTGAACCATTACAATGGGCCTCACAGGAAGTAGTATAAGAACCAGCATGGTGTCTCAGGGAGAAACACTGGCCTCTGAACAAAATCTGATGGCAAAGGACTAAGCAAAACTGTATCAGCATCAAAAAAGACCAGACAAAAAACAACCACAGAGAATGGTTGCAAAACAAACCTGCGAGAATCAAAACATCCACATTACAACTTTCTTCTTCTGAGAACTCTCTGGGTATGAATTCAACTTTATATGACTGATATTTTAAGATGAGGAAAAACAAACAAACAAACAAACAAACAAACAAACAAACAATAAAAAGGTTAAAAGTACCTATATAAACTGAGAAAAATGTTGAGCTAGCTTTGCCAAAATGCCTCTGCACATCCCACTGAAAAGGTAGAGGGTTTCTAGTAGCTTCTTACAAAGAAATTCTACATGCAATAGCCCTCCCCTCCCAATGCAGCAGGACACTATGAATTACCACTCAAATATAGGCTCATATAGCTTTCCAGTTATTAAAAAAAAAACAAACCCTCAACATTATCCTAAAGGATTCTGTTATATCCAGGTACAAGTACCCTCTACACAATGAAATTTAATTTCAGTAGGAGATCCTCATTAATGTAGTTCAGCCGTTCCAAATTAAAGTGATGCAGAACACAAAAATCTTTTTTTCTCCCAGCTATGCCAAAACTGTTTCCCTGGGGCCACCAATGGATTTTGTGAGCAAACTCTGCCTGATTACACTGCTGCATTGATATGTATTGCCTCTCTGTCTTCAGTACTATGTGATACAACAAACATCTTTAAGATGACTGGAAAAGGCTAAGGGTTTAAACACAATGCACACTGAAGTAAATGGAAAGATACCTGTCAACTTCTATGGGTCACTGGTCAGACTCCAAAGAAGTACAGAATCTGGGCTTGAAAGTACTAAGTGTGTTAACATTTCTAGCTTCTACATCTTCACCAAAATGGAATCCAGCTGTCTCAAAGCAACAACTGTACAGGGTTAATAGGTTTTTAAAAAAGGCAAAATAGCTAGTTAAAAATGAACAGATCTGAATGCGCAAGGGCTCCAGGTATGTTTTGCAACCAGCCATTTTTCCAGTCACCTTCCAGAGTGGAGCTATGCAATAAAGAATCAATACCTAGTTCTGTATTCAGGCTTCGTAGCACAATAGCAGCCAATGTGTTCATGTAATCAAAGCAGCGCTGCACAAAGTCTATCTGCCTGCTGCTTCCTGGCATGGTCAGGATGTGTTGGTCCAGGGTTTTCAGCAGGAGTTGGGTCTGATTACAAACCGGGTGTGCCTCCAATTCTGATGGTTTCACAGAGGCTTGTTCTACCAAGCTGCTGAGCAGACTTCCTTTGGAATCTAATTTAAACAAAAAATGAAACACTTAAAAATACAGCTGTGTTGTGATTTTATTTCTACCCTTGTAAATATATCCTTCAATGTGGAGATGAGCTTTCACAGAAAGCAACAGAAATTACTACAATAAAATACACCATTGACCTTGTCTAGCTTACAGCAACAGAGGGGGGCAAGTGTTCAAGTCCCCAAATACACCTCATTATCCAGTGCTAAATTACTGATGGGGAGGATGATCAGCTCAAACAGTCCTGGAACACTGCAAGAGTTCTCAAGTTATTAAAAATTTAAAGGTGAATACTAGTATTTACTATCATTCTGTTGGGTGAAAGAAAACCTAATGTGAAAAAGTAGAATCAGAACTTGAGTTTACTTAAATGTAAATCTTAAAACAGAAGTTATTTTTTCCATCCAAGCCAATGCTTCCAATTTTAAAAAATTTACTTTTTAAGAAAAAAACAAAACAATGAGATTTGCTTGTATTACAATGATTGCCACCATCTTATTGAAAATGCTTAGGTTAACACAAACTAGACTTACACTACCTACATTTTGCTTTTCTCCCTGCTTGAGCCTAATAAATTTCACTTTTGTTTATGGTAAGCTCCAATTTTCGCTCAGTGGTGTATGGTTTGAATTGCAAATATTTGGTGTCGATTTATACAGGTATCTCACAACAGCATGTGTAGCAATACAACAAGTATTGCTATTAATTAGGGCTGTGCAAAGCTTCGGTCGCCGATTGGATTCAGCGGAGATTTGGCCCGATTTGGTGGCCGAATCTTCAAATCCAAATCAAATCAGGAGACCCCTTAATCTCTCTGAATTGAATTGGAACCCTCTGAATCAATTCAGAAAGATCTGGATATAGATACAGCTTTAAGTTTTTTTTGTTTTTGTTTTTTTGTTTTTACATACCTCAAGGTACTAGGCAGCTCGTGAATGCTGCGTCCCACAGGAGAGCAGGGAGCTTCCCAGAGCGCTCCGAAGTAGACCTAGAAGTGGACCAGAAGCGCTTGTGGTCCACTTCTGGGTCCGCTGGGGAGCATGCAGGAGGCCCCCCGCACCCCCCCAGGTCAGTGACTGGTGCCTCCTGGGTTGAGGGGGAGGCAACAGACCTGGAAGCGGACCGGAATTATTTCCGGTCCACTTCTGGGTTCACCGCCAAGCATGCAAGGGGCTCTTCTGCACTCCTGTGGGACACTCCATCGGCCCCAGCATCGCAGTGTTCACGAGCCACACCTGGTACCTCAAGGTACGTAGAAAAAACATTTAAAGCTGTGTCTGTGGCTGAATCGCTGATGCTCTGAATCAGCATCGAATCTTTAGATTCAGATTCGGTCGAATCAAAATCGGGACAGTGATCTGAATCAACAAATCAAATCACTGTCCCCGATTCAGGCCAAATCCAAATCAAATAGGGCCTGTTTCACACACTCCTACTATTAATATTGTAGGTCTACCAAACTCTATTTGCTTATTTCAGTTTCAGCAGGTATACAAAGGTATAACAGCTGTACCAATATCAAATTATACTGATACAAGACTTTAAGATAGAAGCGTTACATGCTCCTGTAGTGATACAAACATAGTAAAACTTCTGTAAGTTTAAACTAGTTTCACATTCAGGGTTAGGTTACAGCAATTTAGCTACCCTGTACTGCTACAGAGGCATGAAAATTTAACAATACATCATAACAGCTGACACAAAATCCTGAAAAGCCATTACTCCTCTCCTTCTAAAGCAGTTAAAAAATAAATTTGTCCACATCCAGTTTTTTACAAGCATAAGTATGTTAGCACTAAAAAACCTTGCAAACAAAAAAATACATGCAATTCACCAAGAGAATCTTCAACTTGTTTCAGTGTTTCCAGGATTTCATCAAGGCACTGTGCTAAAACAATCTGATTAGCAATACCATCTTCAGTCAGGGTAGGATAGCACGTCTGCAGAAAGTCCACAATATTGCATCGAAAATGGCTACTTATTTTTTCATCTGAGACTTCTGTTAAGAAACAAGAGAGAGTAAGAATAATGACAGTTAAATACCAGGCATCAGTGTTTTTTTATACCTAGAGGATCAAGAAACTAGGAGGAACCTTACTTTACAAGACTTCTAGTTTACTGACTCAAGCCCAGTCCAGCCCAACCAGAACAGAAGCTTTAGGTTTGTAAGTAGATAAAAGCATTGAAATGTAATAGCTAGAGACAGACAGACCTTATGTAAAGGGACTTTTGAGGCAGAGAATTAAAGGTAAGGTCAAAACATCACACTTCCAAAGCCATATTTACCATACTTTGAGAGGTAAAATTCATGTATTACATTTAACTGCACCATTGTCAGTCAAGTACCTATCTTTAAAACAGGATTCTTCTCATTTTTATAACAATAATCTGAATAATTTGTATGCCATCTGCCAAACTTGGCCCCCCAACTACTGAGCTCCCTTTCCAAATCACTTAGAAATAGAAACACCGTGCAATAAGGTAATGGGAGTCAATACATATTCAAAACATAATGTATTTTCAGAAGCAAAATGAAGACTGTATAAACGCTCCTTAACCCTGAAAAAACCATCAGCCACCAAGCAGAAGGCAAGAAATTAAAAGGCTGGAAATTGGGAGAAGGGGATCCATCTGCCAGTCACCTGATTTGGATTGCCCTTGTGATGTGAAAGAGTAGCTGAGAATTTTACTTATTTGCTGAAGAACTGCTGGGAAACCTCTTATGCCATCACTGTGCAGGAGAACAAAGTCAAGCCTTCGGCCTAAAAGAATAATTGGACAGGACAGGCAAGGTAAGGGTTGAGAAAAACAATAGTGAAGTTGGAGCTTACACAAATGAACACAGCCGATTATTTTAAATGCCAGGTGGCATGCAAACATTTCCCCACCCACCAAAGCCCACATAGATGGAGAGCAAAATGGGACGCATACCCCTGGTTTCAAGGCTGTTATGCAAGCGTCGTTCTGCTGTTTCCAACAGCTGCTTGCAGGTTTTCCAGAGGTGGCACTGAGTGCAAGCCAAGTCAAATGCTGCCATCGCTGAAGGGCTGAGGTCCTCCAGGACTTCACGCAAAGGATCTGTGCATTCCAACTGGATGCAGCTTGTCCAAAAGTTTTCTTGCAGAGGAGGGACAAGGCTTCCAGAAGTGGCAAGCAGCTTATCAGTAACGTCAGAGATGGAATAAAATACCATGCCTACACAATCCAGCAAACAGTCACTGGTTAAAGCAGGCAGTTATTCTATGTCCCCCAGTAGCAATTACTCTCAAGTCTTTGTATTAATACAACTCCCTTCTGGTCTGCTTTTTGCAAAAATGCTGCATGAACTTTAATTTTAATTAGGCATGACTGTGAACATCTCACTGTTCCCAAATCATTCTACCCAGAACTATACCAGCACAGGGAGCTAATATTAATCATTCCAACAGCCACTACATTGTTCTCCTCTACATTGCCTACCCTCTGTTTCTCATGTTGCTCAGTTTTCCAACTCCATTAGGATATGCAGAAATTCCCTACAGTTCCCTACCCTCACCATCATCTCACCTAGACAATTCTATACTATGCACAGACTGCCAGCTCCCTCTGATTCCTATTATTAAAACATGAAATACTGTTCCTTTTACAGTTTGTTGGAAAAACCTCACTGTTTGTTAACCTCATCCTATGTCAAAGTAGCACAATTTATTACTCCACTCCTGGTGGACTTATGCCCAACTTTCTCTTCCTCATTTGTTTTCTGCCTCTTTACTGTATCACTGTTCTTAATTTGTAAAATGCTACGATCCAACCCATACCTGCTGCAGCTGCACTCCCGATAGCCTGAAGTGTTGATCGGCCACTACCAGATTTCCTGAGGGCTCCAGTACCATCAGATGACTGATTCTCAATCTTGTGCTCTACTTTTGCCATCTCTCGCACCACCTCCTGGTAACGTTCCATGAAAACCAATTCACCATAGCAAGCTGAAGACTCCAGATTAAACATCAAAGCAACCTGTAGGGGTAACGATGAATGCAAATGATGATTACATCACAATAACCTTTACAAAGCCAATGTCTTACCAAAAACATTTTTTGAAAAGTCCTCAATTGAAAACATATGCAAACAATTTCAGCTCAACTGGCTATTTTTATTCAGAAAGATATAAACACTCAGAAAAAGACAAAACTTTGCAAATGGCAACACCTTTGCGATTAAACTTACGCAGCTTCGCTAGCCGATGACACAAAGCTGTATTTAGATTCACAAGTAACTTACAAAAGGTATTTTAAGATTCCAATACATTATGTATTAAAAAGTATCAAGTAGAAATACTTACTAAGCAAGAAACACCATGCAAAATATTCTGTGATTAGAGTATGGACAGATGTTTATTTGAAGCACTCCAAATCATACTCCAATTTCTGCTCTCCAGGCTGGAAAGCAGGCATTTATGCGTGCCTCTCAGCCTCCACAAGTTCCCAAGGATAGCTGAGACCCACAGGAGAGCATATAGCTGCTGTCTATTTTGCTTTTAATCCCCATCTCTCCAAGAGATGGAGTGGGGAGCAAAGCAATATGGGGCACTGGAGGACTGAGCAACCCCCTGTTGTACTCTGCTGGAGGGTACAGACGTTTCAAGAAACACATTGAAGATGTTCCTTGTTTTTTTGAAAGCCATTTCTGAAATGCTTCTTTGAGTGTGAACATCTGAACTCTTGCTGCCTGGAGCACTTTAAAGGCACTTGGAGCACTTCAGACAGCACATCTATCCTTACATTAGCAGCCCACATAGCTTTGTTGGTTTAATACCCGAAGGGAAGGAACAAAAATTAAACTCTGTCCCACAGCAATGTTAGCATCAGTGGTGCTGAAAGCAAAGCCGTGTGGACCCCATAAATGAGAAGCAAATGTAATATCCTGTTTACTAGTTGAAAAGTACTAACAATGCTGACATTCACTTATTGATGATGCAAAGATTAGCTATGTTAGGGCACCTAACACTGCCTCTCACACACATTACACTTTGTAGAGGATTCAATTCTTGGAAAATGTCCTTAAGTGTTTCAGTAAGGGCTGTCTGAAAACTATATGTAGACACACGTGGGGAATTCAAACTGAGTGTCACAATGCAGATGTTCAAACTGGCCAACTGCACAGCTTCTAGGAGCCAGGGAATTTTGCACCTAAGACCCTAGGCCTCCTGTGCTGACAGTATAGACACAGAAACACCACCTTAAAAGCTTTTTGTGCCACTCACAGCAGGCCAGGTCAGCAGCTAAGGATTTTCAGCATGGCACTAGAATAGCATAGCACACACCGTGGAGATGGCGAGGGAGAGAGAGTCGCATCTTTCAGCTCAGTGACCATAAGTATCTTAAATGCTACCTCCCAATTAAGGGGAGAAGGAAAGAGAGAGAGCACACGCGCAAGTTAATATATAAGCTCTGCTTCTTCACTCAGATACAGTGCTAAGCTAGGACAAGGACTGGTAAAGGCTCTGCAAGCTCTGAAAATTCAGGACCACACAAGTTTATCTAAAATTAAAAGAAAGCAACAGGTTGCTTAAGGGGGTGGCCTATGGTATTCTTGTTTCCCTCCTCCTCTTCTGCTACTGGATGCACTCTTGCACCTAGAGTTACACTCTATTCTTCCTCCCAAATTTCTGTCTGTAGCATCTATCTGGCCAGTGCAGCAGGGATATAAATTCCATCAGCCACTCCACTGCCAGTTTATGCTTCCAAAGCTATATAAGGACACAGTTACCTGATGAGCTTCTACAAAGTTCCCCCTCAGGATACAAGAGATGAGGAGCGACTCTGGTGGGGAGAGCATCATAGGAATGAGGGGGTTCTGCGGCTGAGGCTTCAGCCTACATTCCAGGTCACTCCAGCCAGACACAGTACTAGTACTTCCCTCTATAAGAGAAGAAGAGTGAATCATAATGCCAGATCACTGTGGAAAAAAAAGACTGTATCAAGCAATGCTTCTCAGCTTTAATATGAGAAACCCTACTTCAAATTTCTGTGTTGAGACATTAATTTTTAGGGGGGTTGTATAGAGGAAGTGACAAACATGCAGCTGTTATCACATGTAATATCTCCTACTACAAAAAAACCCAGAGCACTTTACAGACCATCTAGATAAGGCTCAATGTATCCACAAATTGGTTTCTAATGCACAAGTAGAAGCTGTTAAATGGGATATAGCAAAAATTACACAGCTGTTGAAGAAAGGGAAGCTTTTAACTGAACAATCCTAACCCTGTTAACATTCTCCAGGGATCTGCAGAGACTCCATATGGCTGTGAATGAGAAACACTCATAGTCCACCGTCCTTTCAGACTACGCTGGGGCACTGATGGGAACAGAGAGACAAGCCTCAGGTTGGTGAGAATGATTTGGGACCCTATGAAGGCAGGCCACCAAGGAACTTCAAATGCTGATGCAGCCTATCTTTGCTTAGCTTGAAAGACTAGTCAAGACACACAACCTGAGGCAAGAGAGTTTGTCAAGCTAAAAAAACTTCAGCTCTTCAACCAAAGAGCTGAAAAATCAAGAGCAAACTTGAGATCTATGTTTTTGATTTAAAAAATGCATCAGAATTTTTATGCAGCATCATCCATACAAAGTAAACCAAAACAACTGCCAACTAGAGTCAGGCAAAAAGCTATGAATCCACAAGGTAACTAACATGAAAAACAACCATAAGATAATCATAGCACTTGCACAATACTACAGTAGCAGATGCTTTAGAAAGGTAACTTGGCATCAGTTCAGACTCCTGGCTAGTGCAAGCTTGGGACAGATTTTTGAAGGTGCAACAGCAAAAGTCACAGTTCTAGTTCCTACAATAAGTCACTCAGCCCAGGTACACACAATTTTGTATTACTTCTATATATTGCAAGAAGGTAATTCAGGGGCATGATGTCCCACTGTCTAGAAGAAAGCAAATGCAGTCCTCTAAACCATTTTTCCTAAGAAATAAAATAAGTTTTAAATTAAACTATATTCTATTAAGTCGGTTTCTTCCTTCTGTTTCGCTGATCACTGCACTGTATACATAGCTGTGCAGAATCATAGGTGCAGCAGGAAAATGCTATTTCTTCTACTCCCCAAAAGGACACATCTGTGCTAATCAAAGTAAAAAAGAATTCCATTATGAAGGGAAACTCTGCCTATAACCTGTAAAGAGAAGCAGTTAATTAAATGAATGCAAACTCATTATGTAGTGAGGAAACCAAGAAATCCTTTCCAGGTGATTTCAATACCTGAGGTACTAGTGCTTAATTCACTGCTCGTACTTTCCAGCGATGGAGTTGAGGTTCCCTCCTTAAAATCTAAAACGGAAAAATAAGAACTATATGTAAAAATCAAAACTGTTTTTCAGAGAAGAAAAACCTCCCTGGGTAAGAAAGATCATTAAGTAATAAAAAGATACCATGATGGGGTCCCTAGAGATAGACTACCCTGTAAGCCAGGGGAGGACAAAATATGGCCTGCAGGCCAAATCCAGCCCGCCAGGCCATTCTGTCCAGCCTGCAGGGCACCTAAAAATGTTAGAAAATTAATATTTATCTGCTCCTGGCTGCCTGTCAAAAATGACAGGAGCCAAGGGCAGTAGGACCCAGGGGAAGCCAACAGGACTCAGGAGCAAGGCTGACCCAGCCCCACCCCTCCCACACCTACTCCAAGGCCTCTGCCTATGGCCACTTTTACTGCTTCCCGGCATACCTGCTTCAACACCATGTGGTCCCAGCTGTGTGGCCAGATTGTATGAACACAGGGCCTGCGCCAGTACCCCAGGGCAAGGAACAGGAGGAGTGGGTATGCATGTGCGCACATGCACAGTGAGGGAGGGGAACAGAAGGGGAGAGAGAGCAAGAGAGCAATGAGGGAGGCACAGAGTGCATGTGTGTGCACACAATGAGGCAGGAAGGGAGTGTGTATGTGTGTGTGTATGCGTGTCTGTGTGTTCATACGGCGAGTCACACAAGCACATCCCACCATTACACATGCATCCCCCTCGCACTGCCATACATGCAGACCCCGATACCCACATCCCCTCATGTACCCCAGCCACCCTCCCAACATACATCCCCCAAGTCCCATACCTACCCACACCCCACATATCCATACACACAGCCACGTTCCCTCACCCCACACACCTATTCACCCCCCACAAAATCCCCAGACACCCCCGCCCCCCTCTCCCACAATACACAAGAGTAAGACTTCATTTTAAGCTATTGTGCAGTCACCCCTATGTACACTACACAAATACATGTAAACCAGGATAAAAATATTTTTTGAAATCAAATTAATGAATGTTGTAGATGTTCAATTTTTAGACTACAATTTGTTATTTTTCTGGTTCAGAGATGGCAAAACCTCTTGCTGAAAGGAGTACTTTCGGGGGCAAGGGGAGGGACTTCTGGTGACAAAGGTTGGGGCTTAGGAGACGGGACTTCTGGTCACAAGATGGCGACCAGGGGCGGGGTACTTGTTAAGGGGCAGGGCTACCCATGCAGCCCTTGACAGCTTGCCAGAACTTAGTAAGCGGCCCTCCGCCTGAAATAATTCCCTGCCCCTGCTGTAAGCATATATGGCTCTCAGAGAAAAGAACGGGTCATTTCATTCTCGCTTTTTGTCTGCTAGAGGAGAATATCATTCGCTTCAGAGGAAAGCTTTCACTTTAATTTGTCCGCATCCAAAACTAGCTCTAGTTCTATAATACTTTACTGAGAATGGGAATGTGTGAGATTCTTCCCCCTGATCAGGTGATCATTTTCGTCTTGAAACAAGAAACCCCTGCCCCTGCCCCCTGCCACTTTTATCTTCACTGTTATCCCTATAAGTGCTGTTCTCATTCATAGTCATATCTATTTCCCCTTCTCCCCATCCCAAACATCCAATAAACCTGCACCAGCAAGTGTCATAGAGCAATCAGATTACATGCAGGAGTTATTACTTACACATTCCCTTTTAATTGTATTAGCAGATTTTGGCATAAGAACAATTTTCTAAGTCGGAACAGACAGATACATTTCACGCTGGCACACCAATTATACCTATCATGCCAATTAGCAAGCTAGAAGGGTGGAACTGGGCAGATAGTCATACTTAGTTATACTGACATCTTGCTAAGGCTCAATTTCATTCTATTGGTCACCTGACATCATTTGAGAGATGTCATTTCTAGACTTCCAATTCCTCAACCCACCTGGTCTGTACTTTTGAGTTCGACTGCGCTTCCTGAAGCTCGAGCACCTGGTTAATGAGGAGAGTCTCCTGGAGGCTGCAAGCTGATGTTCTGAAAGAGGAGCCATCTCAGTTAAGCACACACAAATGCAATGCCAAGCAGAAAAGAAGAGTTGGAACAGAAAAAGCTTGTACCTAAACTAAAGATTTGGTGACATGAAGACATAATACCCAGACATAAGCACAGCAAATTCCACATTAGCTACCCCTACAGACTAAGATGTACAGTTAAAAGTAGAATTAATCCCAAAGGAGAGTAAATTAGCACACAGAGAAGAAGCAAGGCAACTAAACCATGATCTGTGTGATAAAACAAAATGTTTCTAGTTTGTGACAACCACCGCTGCTTTTATTTTTGAAATATGCATATACAGTGTCTAACATATACCTATTTTAGATCTTTCTAGCTATTAAAAAGGTACTAATCACTGTTGTTCTTAGAATATCTGGAATTTCCATTGTTGCAGTCTGACAAAAATCCTGACCTACAAGATTAGTAATTAATAATCCTGATTACTAAACCAATCGTCACATACAAAAGACCTAAACTGATTCACTGCTAAACATGGCTGAAGGAAGGCAAGACAGGAATTTGATATGGCCACTTTACCAATGAGAAATTTAAGGCTTGAGGAGCATTTCTGACTGCAAATTACATACCTGGTTTAGTGGGTTTTTTGAGTCTAATCTCTAAGAAATGGGAGAACAGAAAGAATGTTTATGGAACTGAGGTGCCACGAAGTTATATCAGTCTTGAGAGCTGGATATGTCACCTTCCATGCTCTCAGTCCTGGGCCCCCAAAGCAAGTTCCATAAGGTGGGGCAAATTTGGGAAATGGACAAATGAAGAAATCAGAAGCGACTGATACTATACTAAAAGCTTACACCCTGCTTAACACACCTGCAAACTACTCAATGTTTACTACATCTCTTTCAACTTATGAATCCTAACATTGAGCCTATCAAGTCCCTGTGAATCTTACCTGCATTTCTATTGCTCATCACTACTTTGTAGCGCCAATGAGCTTCAGAAAGGTATTTGGAGAACTGCGATACACGGCTCCCAAAGCCATCCCTGGTCACAGACAGATTTAAGCACTCCACTACCTCCAGCTCTTCATGGGGTGCATTGCTCAAGTCCCAAGGCAGAGAACTCTGAATTTCTTCCAGGTGATTGAGAAGCATCTTCAGAAAGGCATCCATCACCAACTCATCTACTAGAAAACCAGTGCCACTGCTGGTAAAGTGTTTCAGATCTAGACAGCTAGACCTGGAGGTCTCGCCATTCTCACCACTCAACTCTGAGCCTAGCAGAGTCTGTGCAGTGTGGCAGACTGCTCGCAGGGCTTGAGGACACCTGTCCATTTTCCTTTCAGGCTGTACAAAGTGCTGTGGACTTTCTGAGGTAGAAGAGCCTCGGCTGGCACTGCCATCCAAGTTCCCAGCACCACAAGTCTTTTTATCAAGGTCATCCTCTTCTGCATAGTCCTCAGGCTGGAGTGTCTCTGTATAAAGATCACTGTAGGAGACAAAAAGCAAGGAGAAGATGTTCTCCAGAAGCTCCAGGCGCAGAGGAGCAGGGACACCCCGTAAGAACTGCTGGCACTTGGCAAGGTATTGAGGAAAGACAGCTGAGCAATCTGTACAAGTAAAAATAAAATTACATTACATTTACAAGATTTTCAGGAATTGTCCCCCCCCCCCCAACCCATTTTACAATTCCATAATTGGGAACAAAGTTTACAAGAATAGGAGAATCATGAGACACATTAAAGAATAAGACAGCAATAAACTTTACCACATCTGATCAGAGTATTGACCAATATTAGTGGTACACGGGTGAATTTCTCTCCCTCAACAAAGCACATGAAGCTCTTTACTTTTTGTAGGTCAAGGGCAGGGCGACCACCCTAGGCCCTGTGGTTTGGGGGGCCCCACAGAGCTGGGCGGAGCAGCCGCAGCAACTCCATGCTGCCACCAGCTTCAAGTCCATACACTTGGCACCTCCCCCCCTCAACCTGCTGCCAGCTTCCTTGCATCTGGGGGTGGGGCCCCAGACAGGCTGATTTGCCCTGGGCCCTCCTCAACTCGTCTCTGGTCAAGGGTATGCATTATTTGCCCCTAACTCTGGTAATGTTCACCTTATACACCAGTGCACAGACTCTGATTACCTACAGTCTAGATTATGAAACCAATATTAGTTATAAGAAGAAATCCCAGCTACAACATCCCATTAACAGTAGCATTTCCCCTTTATGCAGCTTTTCTTAAATCTGAGGATCTTAAAACGTTCTTCAGAGTGAATATCCAGCCTCTAACAATAATAAATGAAAATAGTAACAGTAACTTAGAGAGATGCTGTGAGATTTTTTTAGTAAGTGCTCAGAGCTCTCTGGATAAAAGGATTATACATGTGCACAGTTCCATATCACAATAATAAACCCATATCCACAGAATCATTAAAACATGCAGAAACCACTGAACCTGAACAAGGAGGCTGATTACCTGCTGGTTCTTTAAGATGGTCAGAGCCTTCAGAGATGTCGCTGAGGCAGCTGTACGTGCAATCCTTGCACTTCAGAGGCTTATGTGAATTCACACACAGTGCATAGATTGCATATTTCATGGCACAAAATGCCCGGAAGAGTGCCAGATTGCGTCGCTGATTCAAAAGGCCAGGAAGTGATGCCCCTGCAGAGTGAAGCAAGTTGAAAACTGGAGAGGTAATTCTCAAAGACTTATTCTAGTTTCTAAAAGGTCTTGGAATTTCTACTTTATCACTCTTTCTTCACATTTCAATAAGATTGTTTCCTTCCTTTCCTGCATTAGTATTTATAAAGGAGGGCTCAACAAGGGAAAAACTGACTTACTCTATAAAGTCAATTTTACCAGTTTTCCTTTATAAAGTAAAATGCAGTGGAAAGAAAAGTAAAGTAAATTGTCTCCATTCACTTCTCTTGTGGATAGTCATGTAATAAAATTCTCATGATCGGTGTAAGATGATCTAACATAAGATTTTTCAAGTTGAAACAGAAGACTCCAAAAACACCTGCATTAAAGACATGCTTCCGCAAAATGTAATATCTTATCGAGGGAGATTTAACAATTCTAGGGCTTCTTCCACCGTGATTCTTATCATGCAGACTTAAAACCTTAGCATTAAGACTCTGCTCACCCTTCCTACCCAGACCGGGCTACTGCTAAGTTTTCTCTCTCAAATCTCTCTCAAAACCTTTGCTTTTTCATCTCTTGCCTCAATTACTTCACTTTTTGATTCACTCTGGTTTCCACCTGATGCCCAACAAATTCCTCCAACATCACAATCTTTGCTCCTTTGCTGGCCACATTAACTATGCCATCACCTTGCCTTGAGACTGCATTGGATTCCTGTCCTTCTCACATTACAAATTCACCCATTAAGACCGTGAGCAACTCTGTTCTTATGTTGACTTCTGCCACTCTCCTACTCAAAACCTACACTCAACTGATTCAGATCAACTTGATGTTTTCTTGGTCTCCTATTCCCACAAGGAACTTTGTCCTCTTCTTACTATTATTTTATATCCCTAGTCTTTGTAGGTTCTCTGAGCCCCAGAATATCAATCTTTTAAAGAATCACATTTCACACAGAAGTCTTCCCTTGTTGACCTCCATTCCAGCCTTCTACCACTATTTAATCACATTTAGAAGAAAATAAAGAGCAAGACGAGGTCTACAGAAAAAACAAGCCTGTAACTTTCATTTTCAGTGAAACTTTGCCTGGAATCCTGGCATTTCAAGACCCAGTGGCAACAAAAAGCCAGACATACTTAATGCATGGGTGGGTCTTGTAACAGATAGGACTGGATTCCATTTACACTGAAAGGCCAAACTATCTCTTAATCATGTTGAATGCAAGTGTCCCCCACAACATGCTATATTATCCTAGAACTGTGGCCAAACTAGGTTACAACTATATTTACCAATCTGCATTATGGTTTGATGCCAGTCACAATGGCTGGCCAAACAGATACAAATTTGGTTTGAGTACTACTCTACTTCAACATTACAGCACAGTTAATATGCAAAACTACAGGAGACCCACAAACGCTTTGAAGGAGAGAGAGAGAGAGAGAGACTGTACTCTTGTCTTCATGATACAGTCAGCTTGAAAGATGCCCTGCACCACTTGTTTTCCTTTCTTCTCTTTATTTTGCAAGCAGATGTGTCACATGCTAGTCATATGATCCTTCTGATCACAACAGAACAAAAGAATTCAATACGGTGTCTGAGTCATTCCCTGTGTATGTTAGTTCTGTTTCTAGCAGAATTTACACACTGTAGAAAGGCGTATTCACTAATAGATACTACACTACTGTACAGTAGTTATTCAAAACCATGTAATAATACTATTTGAGACTGATTAAGTAATACTGCTATACAATATCCACCATCCAGTGGAGTCCAAAGTTTGGGCCAAAAGACCACAATCACCCTCAAAATTTTCGGCACGCTTACCATCAGACTTTAAATGAAAATAGTAAGAGTCGGGAGACAGAACTAATATAATCCACGGTATGCTTACCCTCGTCTCTCAGATCACAGTTTGAAAACACTGGTATCTTTATAGAAGGGATGAATCGCTCATCTGCCTACTGGGAGTGAAGAGTGCACGTTCAAATTATTTAAGTAAATATGCTGGAGTTGCTTTATCTATGTCCAAGTCCACACACTTGCAACTAAACTGACTAGAATAGCACTTCAGTGCTATTATTACACAACTCAAGCAGTGTGCCATTTTGCATGGGAAAAAATAATCTTCTGAGAATTACTATTACACAAATGTTGTACTTATAACATGTTATAGTATTATAACAAATACATTTAAAGTTGCAAGAAAGATTTGACAGTGAAGATGCAGCTCCTAGATCCATAACGTACAAGTGATGGCAATGGTGGAAACTGTAGTACAGGTTTCAGATATTTTTACCATCCTGTCTGCTAAATCTACTCAGAGTAAAGTTACCCTACGGGGCAACAAAGCCGCCAGCTGACATTCTAATATAATAAAAGCCTTAGTCTGTCTGTCCATAACACTCCGGGCCAACTGCACATGCGCCGCTGAGAGGGCACGCACCCACCAACTGGCTGTGAGGGCCCAGAGCATTAGACAGAGGGGGCGAGGGAGCCGCTGTGCCCCCCCCCGCCCATAACACCTGGCAGGGTGGGGGAGGCGGTGGGAAAGAGGGGAGGAAGGGAAGGGGTGGGGTTTCCAGTGGCAGCACCACCCTCACCGCCACTCCATCCCCTGCCGCCACCCAGCCCTGACAACAGCTAGCAGAGAGGGGGAGTAGGTGGGGAGGGAGGAAATGGGAGGCAGGGTATGTTGCATACTACCAGGTGTCAGTGGCCGTGCAAGCTCCCCTCCCCCCAGCTCCTGGGACCCAGTGGTGGCACAGGGTGGAGTGGCAGGAGACCGGGGGGGGGGGACGACACGGCACGGGGCCGCACCAGGAGCAGCGGGGGAGCAGACGCACTGCGGGCTGCTGGGTGGTGGCGCTCTGTCTCTGCCCCACCCCCCATCATTCATGACAGGTAATTTTCTAGTTAATACATTCTTTCGTATGACAGCAATGGAAGGAGATTTTTAAAAATACCTCAGAGGAGATGAAGCCAGAGAGTCTAAAGTAGGAACCGACTAACATGGCTAGTCAGGAGGTATTTATCTGGATAAGCTGGAGAGAGAGCAAGATAAACAACAGCACTTGAACACTTCTGTAACTAATACCACTGTGTTTCTATTGTGGAAAGGGACTAAATGAAGTGCATCAGATGCCAATAGGGCTGTGCCTTTCCCTAAAAGTTGCAGCTCTGTACATGGTAACAGCCACAGAAGAAAAAAAAACAGCTGCTACGTTTTTGGCCAATATTACTTAATTTACATGCCAGTTTCACTGGTTTGTCTGCAGTCAGCAATGCCATCCTATGCTCTGACCTGGGGGGAAAGTCCAGATGCATGCTCTTTCCCAGCCCCTGCATTAGGGCATTAATCAGCAACAGCACAGCAAAAACAAAAGCAAAGCAGTAGCAAACAGGTGTGGACCCAGGAAGGAAGGGAGGTGGATGGAAGCCTGTGCCTGTCTGGCCCTGCTATTCCAGGGTCCACCTAAAGAAGAAGAGCCAAAAAAAACCTCAACTTCTGCCCTCCTCCCCACTTAACTTTCTGATTATGTTATTTAAAGGTGCTCTGTCAGCAAATCAAAATGTAAACCAGCAAGTTTTACAACACCACTTTAAATGCAATAACTCCTGAGCTAGAAAAGGGATGTTTGGTTTTCATGAAATATTTCTGTAAATTGAAGCAGCCTCAGAGAAGTGAAAGCAGGGTTAGACCTATCCCTCTGTACAGCTGCACAACTCAGGCTAATCTGACTAAGCTGCATTTCCCTGCCCCAGTGTGGTTTCTAACTTCTTGCACCAACTGTCACTCAAAAACCTAGAGACTCTCATAGACGGATCCAAATGCAAAGAAGGGCAAGGCGTTGTAAGCTGATGGAACAGCACAGCAGCAAAGCAAAAATCTCAATCAGTGGCATCATTTTCTTAAAGCTTATTGAGAATAAGTGTAATTTACTGATAAACACCAAGAGAGAAGAAAGCCTGGGGCTGGGTTTCACCACAGTCCTGCCTTATAACCAGCTGCAGCCCAGCTTTCACTTCTCTTTGGTCTCAAACTGAAATTTGTACAGGCCTTCCCCTGAGCACAGGGCAGGGGGAGAAAAAAAAGTTTATTTTTACTGTGGAAATCAGTTAGTGCTGTCAAGAGGACAAACAAGTTTAGGCATTCTGTTTTTATAATTAGAACAAAACCCAAATATGAAACAATTTGACAACTCAGATAATATGAAGAGGAAGAAGAAACAGCTTCACTGTAGAAAGCTTTCGAAAGCAGAAAGCTGAGCTGCTACAAGTTTCACCACTGTAAATGTTGTTGGATCATTTAAAAACTCAAGCTGAAATTATATACCGTACTTAAATAAAAAATTCAAGGTGAGTTTTTCCCCAGCCAATCAGTATGATGGAAAAAAGTCCCTCACCTTATATTTGCATACATGGAAACCTAATTAAATACACTGTCTATCACTAAATTGCTGCAAAATGCAGGAGGTGCTCAGTAATGGAAACCAACTATGAAGCTGATTAAATACAGCCAACACTGAACACAAGCCACTCCCCACACCTTCTTCAGTTGTCCTTTTGTGATGTTTTCCACTAGCACCTTCCTGTCTCTCCTTTACTGCCTTCACCAGTTTCTTATGATCCTTCAGGACATGCAGCCCTACCTTCCCTATTATTACCTCTGCATGAATCCTTCCATCCTGATGTAATGATCTGGCAGTTGCCATGCCCATGAACTCTTCAAAGAGGTCTGATATATTCCCCAGTTCCTCAAACTTGCAGCTGCATGAAATCGGGTGATACGTGCTTTCCCCTCTCCCTCCTTTAATGGCTTACATACCACATTTATATAATTCACAAGGACGAACAATCCTAAGTCCAACAGCCCCCATCACTGTTGCTTCATACAACTCAGCTCTAGCCAACTTCTCTCTTTTGGCATTCCAAAAGAACACACACACATTTCCCTCTGTACTTTTGCTATCTGCTGCCATGTTGATGGGAATACAATTCCTGTACATAGAAAATTCAGCAGTAGCACAGCCTTAACAGCTGCCACTTTTCCTGCAAAGGACAGTGTCCTTCTGGACCATAATCAAAGTATTTGCCATATCCTTTTCCCATGCTGTAGTACCTTTCCCCTCAGCATCCATCAGGATCCCTAGGACTCTAATTTATCTCTCTCTTATTTGAAGGCCCAACTTCTCCAATTCCTTCCAGTTCCCCACTCCTATCATCATGCTTTTCAATCTATTTAGTTTAGCCCCTTCATTTCTCCATACTCCGATGCATGCTTTAGCACCCTTTCCGTTGAAAGTCTACCACTATTACATTTCTCTCATCTACGTATAATACGCATTTTACCTCTCCCCCTCCCAGTATCTTTACTCTACTTATAATGTTGTCTTTTCTCGTTCTTTGTGCTAAATTTCCATGATGCACGCAAACAGTAGCGGCAACAGTGGGCACTCTTGTCTCACCCCTGTATAGATTTTAAAGGTCCTGCTTAGACTTTAAAGATTTTAAATTTAGACTACACTCTTCACTTCTGTATACAGGAAGCCCTCACTATTTGCAGATTTGCGATTTGCAGTTTTGAATATTCACGGTGCACCGCACCAACCCACGCTCTCTCCCCACGCAGTGTGATGACACTTTGTTACTGCACTCCCCAAGTAAGGGGTGGTTTGAGAAAGTTAAGAGGCACAGCCTACATAATCTGAAGTTGATGAGGGAAATCAGCGTCAGCAGAACATGAAGCAGCGCAGGATTATTTCCCAGCTTCTTAAAAATCGAGGAAAAGGTTACAAGCCCAAACAAGTTTAACGCAGATGACGCAGCACAGTATTCGTGGATTTCCCCACTCGTGGCGATCTCTAGAACGTATCCCCTGCAAATGACGAGAGTCTCCTGTACAATAACCTTATCCAACATACAAATTTTTTCCGGGAACCCCATTTTTCCTAGCACCTCAAATATGTAATCACGATCCACTCTGTCATAAGCTTTTTCTAAATCTAGGTTTGCTATAACTGTTTGTTTTCCTCTCTTGTTAGCACCAGCCACTAGTGTACATATCAACATCACTTAAATGGAGAAACAAGAGGCTTTAGAAACTTCTTCAAATATCTTAGATTGATAAATAATTTACTATGGAAAAGCATATGTTAAAGGCATTTTCAAACACTGGATTTTTTTTGTTTCAATTCAAAATGGCAATCAGTCAGGTAGCATAGGTGTAAAGTTAAAATATTAAGAGGATTTTGTAATATTAGAAAATGGCTTGGGTTTTCTGTATTAGCAATGTTTTTAAAACACTGAAAAAGTAAGTAAAATTTAATTAATCCTTTTTAGTTGGAAACCTAAAGCAAATAGATTTAGGTTCTGTGGTGCAAGGGAGCCAAAGAGAAACTTGAACATTCTGCTTCTACTTTGCAAGCTAAGAATTCTATAAACTGTAGGGAGATAGCAGTAAAGAGTATGAGAGTTTAATATTGGTTCAGGTTTTACTAAGTGATATACAAGGAAAGTCCAAAATAAGTATTTTTAAAGTATTGTGATAGAAAGTGCTAAATATAGAATTCATCACGATCCTAAAGGGAACTGGATTTCATAATCTCCTCACAAGAAGACAGCTCACCTGCAGAATGAGCATGAGAATCATTTCCTCACATACTCTCACCTGGTTTTTAAGTTCTGCTAAGAGTTACGTAAAGTTTTTCTAAGATGCAGGTTGCACATGCTAGTCCTCCCCGACACGAGTACTCTCAGTATGATACCGATTTCAAGAGATACATGCCAAGTGGTTTATGAAGTTCACTGCCATCATACATTCCTGCATGTTTACCTTGTGTCCTCTGGTCTCTGGCTGGAACCTTCTGAAGCAGCTCAATGACTTCCTCTTCATTCAGTGCCAGAAGGTTGGCGAGGTGATGAAGAGAGTAGAGTGCAGAGTGGCAATCCAAACTGTGCAAGTGCTGCAAAAGCACCTTCTTTGGGATAGCAACACTGCAGGAGAAAACAATAATCAAAATGGTGGTGGGAAATGGGTTCAACCTATCCAAGCCTTATATACACTATGGATCACTTCAAGATCCAAACCCTGGTTCAGCTGAATTAAAAAAAAAAAAAATGGTTTAGACAAAATCCAAGAAGCAAACTATTGTAGCTTATTGCAAAGAGTTACTAACAGAGGCTTGGCAGAGGTTTGCAAAAAATATTTTATATTTGCATACGTAGCCTCAGCATATGTAATTGTGGCGAGTGGAGGTAGCAAGAGAGTAGTTCTGTCCATTTTACCTATTTCGATCTATGCACCATTCAAGAACCTCCAGTTGAGCCCACAGCCCATCACAGAAGTCTTTTAATACTGAGTCATTACACAGGTCCTGTTAAGGAGAAACAAAGCAAACTAACATCACCAGCATAAAGGAAAGAGATCACGTTTCTACCATATCTCTTATCTTACCAAGAATACGACCACAACAAAATTTAGTTCACGTATGTGATGTCATAAAATTCCTTTACCCATAATAGACCAGGTGAATAAATTGTTGCGTGTTTGCTTGTTGCTTTCATGCATAAATTAAGCAAAGGTTGCTAGCTGTATTCTGGCTTAAAAGGCACCCTTCAAGGTCAATGAACCTAGACACAGCCATCTTCCTTAGTCTGTAAAACTATCCCTCTAGTTCTTTTATTTGTAAAAAGTAATTTAATGCTTCTAAAAAGTAGTACAGCACTTCCATCTCCAGAACTGCCATTGTGGTTACACACCCAGAACAGATATTGTATTGAGTAACAGACGTGCAGATTTCCCACATTTCCTCCTTGTCCAACATGTTTATGTTTTGCTGTGGATGCCTACCCACTAAAACTGACACAATACTGACAGATTACATGGGACATCAGGCAGACACCACATGGGAACTCCATAAAGACACAGCTGATCTGGGTTGGACTTGATTCACCAATCTAACAGCAAAAGGCTCCCTCGCTGTCTTGTTATCAGTCTGTCAGGACAGCCACTCTTAAAGATCACGTAGATTGGAACTAGAGGCCAAGAATTATCTGTGTATCTATGGCAGCATTAGAAGGTTTTGTAAAACCAGAAAGGAAGAAGGCAGATCCTCCTCATCTTGGCTCTTGCCGTTTAGGTTAGGTTAATTTTATTGTTGGGATTAAGGATGACCTGGAACCGAGAATCTCACCTATGGTTAGCAGCACTCGTTTTAGATTAACAATGGCCTAAAAGTTGTCACTATCCAACGTCTGCTCACTGGCCTGTGTGAAACAGGTCTCATAAGTCAGTTCTTAGAGACCCAACTGATGCCCAACACCAAAGATTCACCACAGCTGACATTACTGGGCTTCCTCTAGTTTCAGAGGCCAAGAGCTGAATGGGCCCTGGAATATTAAATACCAGGTAGCTCAGAGGATGAGATATTCTGGTTGCTGTTAAAACAAGGCTATCCAGCTTCTCAATGGTCCCACCCCCACTGCACATGTATCACAGGAACCCTAATTCCCTTCTACTGTACTGCCTTGCCCACCCCCAGAAGGAGGTGCAGGAAGAGGAAGCCAGGGAGGAAAGGGAGCTTAGAGACCCTAGAGCTGCTGCATCAAAAGCAGTGTGGGGAACCCCCCAGGCAGAAGCCTGTAGGTTATGTTAGTCCTTCATGAGCCACCAGTTGGACAGCTCTGTGTTAAAGTATACTAAAGGAGGCCTGAACAGACTACACATTTTGAGTGTGTTTGATATTTGAAAACCCCTTTTAAGAAAAGCCTGAAAGCCCTAACCTTTACCATTCCTGTGTGTGGAAGGATATTTGCAGACTCTCATGAAACTAACTCCCCTCCCCACACTATTTTCAAAACTAAGGGAAAACATGCACAAACTTCAAACCTGACTAATAACCCATGCAACTAACTTGCACAGACTAGAATCAGACCAGAGTTATTTCACCCTGTCATTTCCACCTTGATCACCATTAGCTTACTTGCCTGAGTTTTGTGAAGTGTCCGCAACAATGTTTTTGCTGATTCCAAGCTATGACAGTGAGTCCATCCTAGCAATACCAAGAGACGGCCAAGAGGATTGAATTCTCTCCTCAGTAAGCTGCTCAAGCCTGAGAAGTCTTCCCTTTTCAGTAATGTTATTGCAGTTACCTAGAAAACAGAAGGAAGATGCAGTAAAAAGTGCAGAATCCCAAAAGAGTGGTCTGGGAAAAGACTTTTCCAATAGTTTTGGGGAAAAAAAGGTTGTGAAGTTCTGCAACTGGAACTTCCTCATATCCAGACCATTTTTATGTACTTTTACTCAATGGGCCTCCAAAAGGGAAGTAATCATTCCGAGGAGTAGCTGAAGAATCCACACTTACTTGCTTCTTACAGTCTCACTGGCTTCTTTCTAGTCTTCATATTTCCCTCATATCTTATGAAGCAACTAGAAGAGACTACTGAACTTCTGTTCCAAGATTTTCTCTTACATGTCAAAGGACCATCTGCCTGGATTCTAACATCCTCTATGCATTTTTATCTTCTACTACAATGTTAGCTTCTCATATAGTATTTTTTACTCATGGGTTTCAAAGCACTTTAAAAACTATAAACTTAACCTTGTAAACCCTTTGTAAAGATTCATTATTCCCATTTTACTTGAATCAAGAAATAAACAACTTGCCCAAAATGATGAAGTGAGTCAGGGGGAAATAACTAGCATGGCTGAGACTTGAACACATGAGTCCCAGCTCCCATATCCTCTAATCTAACCAACAGGCTGCAAATGAGGGAAGTCCTCCAAGATGTCTTAATTGCACCATGCAGATGAAACTGGTTCTGATAACAAGAGATTATAAAAAAAAAAAACCCATTGGTAGTTAAACCTTGGTTTTAAAAGTAACAATTAAAATTTGCCACTGGGTTTTTTCACTCACTATCATCTTTATGGCCATACCAGAATCTGCTCCAGAAAGTGCTTGCTGCTGCTCAGGCAGTAGAAATAGGCAGTTTTCCAAGAATAATCCTCCTCGGGGTCCAAGAATAAAGTCATCATCGCCCGCTCTGTGTCCACCTGCTCAGTTGAACCTGATGTACAAAGACAGGGTTACTTCCAAGCATACTCAAAAACACAGGGAGCTACCTTTCAGGAAGGCAGGCTGCCTGATACTATAGAGCAACATACTGTACTTTCTTGAATATGAAGCCAACAATTGCATTTTGATAACTAAGACCCCAAGATGGTGCTACTGGTTAACAGGGCACAGCACACTGAGAAACCAAAGAAAAGAAAGAAAGAAAAACAAATGAAGAATGAAACACTGTAGGAGGTGTTTCCACCAAAGTAACCCATATCCGAGCTGAAGAATAAAATACTCCTCTTGACACAGGGCCACATAATTAGAACTATTAATGACCTAACAAGGAATCTGTATCAGGAACTGGGAAAGGTTTTAAAAGCAGAGCAACTGAGGACTCATGTTAAATATGAGCCATACACTAACTCTACAACTCCATCCCACACTTGTCTTACCTGCAAAGCCACAATGACAAAAGGAAACAAACCTTTTCCTAGCGACTTTGGCCCCAGCAGTTTCTCTCTTGTCCTCTCCGTGAAGACACTGCTATACAGACTGAGCAAGGCATGACTCTGCTTCCTCAGCATGCAGCTCAACAGTTTTTCCTCCCTCAGGAGGCTTCCTTCGACCCAGCAAGCATTCAACAGCTCCCTGCACAAATGTCGTAGTTCACCCATCTGATGCTCCACCTCAAAATGCAGCACACTAAGGGCTCTGTAAATTGCATCTACTGTCTCTCTTTGATCCAGTTCTGCTGACAGCTCAGGATTGTACTGAAGCCTCTGAAGAGATTTTAAGGAGTCATGGAGAAAGTCAACATAGATGCTTTGTAGAGAGCAACTCTGCTGCTGTGCAGAATTGCGTGTACCTTGTTCTCCTGGCAGGAACTCCAGCAAGGCTTGGGCCCGCCAAGGAGTCCGCACCAAAAGCTTGCAGAGAGCCGAAACTGCTTCCACACTAAATCTGCGAGTGTGACCATCTCTCCTTCTCCTATCTGGTTCATGCCTGCTCTGGATACATTCAAATGTCTCGAAGAGTTCCTGGGGGAAATCAAACAAGTACATTTGGAGAACTGGCAGCCTCTTGGCTTTCACACAAGTGTGTGAAACAAATACATGCATACTGAAGGAGGAACTTTAATATTAATAAATAAGTCCACCTGGTACCACTAAAATACTGCAGAAACTAAACCTATTTCAGGAACAGGAATCCTACTACATCTAGTCTGGCATCCTGTCTATTGCAGGGGCCAAATGTGGATATACATGAATAAGAAGTACTTAATGGGCCCAACTCTACAATTCACCATGGTTGAGGGAGGGATTTTTAGTGGCCCCCTTTATGGTCAGTTAATGTCATGAAGACTGAAGAAGGTCTTTCTGTGTCTGTCTGGGTGCATCTGTGTGCATCCCGATACACACACCCCTATCTATATATGAAAGACAAATCTCCTTCCTCACAGTTAGATTATTAAAAGCAAGGGCTTTAAAAGAATTTTCTATTCTTCTACACACTCCAAAATATGTTTCCAAGATTTAATTTTGTTACTGTATTTAAGAGGCTCTTCATAAACTCAAACCTCTTTATAGCCTCCCCTCCATACATATAATCCCTACTAAGATGGAAAGAACAAAGAGAGAGAGAGCGAGCAAGCATGCGAGTGTGATTTCAGACTACTAGCCTGACCTTATGACTTGCTAAATAGGCACAGAAAGGGCCTTGAGAGAAGAGAGGGTCCCCATGGATGACTTCCTCTTTTGTCCAACTGAAGAAGTTAATCACAAATAAAACTATCATGCAGATGGCTTCATCCTCCTGAGCTATATATACCACCTAGTTCTCGCAATTCTGGCAACGATGTTTTTCACCACAATGACTTCTTCCTCACCTTTTATCATCACAATGCAAAAGGCACCTATCCAGCTTCTAGAAAATGTCAATGTTTTGTCAAGCTACCTTCATGAAACTTACCTTTCCTAAAGCCTAGAGAACATACTTCACAACTGTCATCAGTTGGCAGCACATGAGCTTTCAAACAGTAAGGAACACAGGCATCATACTCTTCTCAAAGGAATTTAATCCCCATCTCATCTTAAACAGATCAAAAAGCCACAAGAGACACGCCATATGTGCCTTCAACCAAAGTTTTCTGCAATCTACTTCTTTTCATTTTTTTTAATTTGATTTGATTTGAAATGCATGGACATAATTTTCCAGTCAAAGATAATCTCTCTCTAAATGGGGAAAACAAAAGCACCGATTTCCAAAATGTTAAGACCCTTCTTCATGCCATCAAAACCAAAATTAAAACTGGGTGGACTAAGAGGGGTCACAGATGTACTTTGTTCATCTGAAAGTCATAAAAGGATGGACTTCAAACCCAGAGATTAGGACCAGAGTAGAAAAATAAAAGCAAGAACTGTGCCTGTACACCATATACAATTAAGAGCTCTAGGGAATGCTATGGTAGAAGGAGAGGATAAGTATTCAGTTTCCATCCAGATAGAATGCACTTTTGGCCAGCACCTGACATCAGTGCTTAAAGCACTGCAGTCTCCCATGGGGCTCAAATGCTGTCTATAAAGCTAATCAAGCAAGCATCACAACTGTAGAGCTCAGCTGATCATGCAAAGAAAAAATAGTCCCTCACATACAGCGCTAAATATCACAAAAATGGGAAGCTCACAGGCCTCAAACGTCCAGCACTGGTCACTGTCTAAGATGGGGTGCCAGGAGGATGTAAGGTCTGACCTTGTATGTCAAGAAGTGGAATAATTTTATCAGATAGAACACTGGTCCAAAACAATGTTGATATGCTTATGATCTTGCACTCTCCATGAGAGTGGTTGCGAAGTCCCTTCAGTTAACCATTCCCAAAACTGGGATTTTCTCTTGCAAAAAGAACAACCATAACTTGTTTAAGGATGCTTGCTGGATTATCGCAGAAATAGCATTTATAAACTTACACCATTCTCCAGACATCTGCATCAGCTTCATTGTCAGTCAGCCTCCGATTGATCAGTTTCAGTTCACAATTGAAAGTGAGATGTAGGCACAAGAAAACAAATACTTTGAAGACTAATGCAATTCTTGCTGTCAGAAATTTAAAAGCTATCAGAAAGACAGCTCAGCAACATGTTAAGTTAGTACTTTAGCCTTTCTTCTATAGAGGCCAAAATTCATCTCAGTCTGATGTGGAATATGAAAGCAGGTATAATGCAGTCATCCTGGTCCCCATTTCTTTACAACCAGACAACTGACATAAAACTACTATTATCAGTTCATGGCAGGCTGGGGGCTGACATAACAGGCTTGACAAAGACTGAGATACATCCACTTACAACTGTCTGGGTACAACTGAAACAGTAGGCAGAAGTCACAATAGAGGTCTGTTAACAAGATCACATGGAGACGAAATTTGTTCAGCACCTGTCTATATAGTCTCTCCCCACACAGTCATTGCTACTTCATATGTTCATTTCACTTGTTACAGTGAGTAGAACTCGAATCGTTCATTCAACTGTCTTTATTTTATGTATACAAGGTCAACAGGACATTCAACTGTCACACACAGGATCAGTTAAGTTCACAATGAGCATTAATTTTGATCGCAATGATTAAAGAGGCAAGCACTCCACCCAAACTTTTTAACAGGGGGAAAGCAATGACTACACTAAAGCAACTCACCTTTAAAACATCTTCAGAGACATCCTTCTGCAGTTCCTCCAGTAGCAGTAAGAATTCTGTTTCCCTTTGGAGAACAACTGAGACTATTTTCTGAAGTCAACACAAAAAGAAAAGATAAAAGCATGGCAAAGATGTCAGTCAACACATTTGGTTCAGAAACAGAAACATTTCAGGTGTTTGAAATACTTCTGAAGACCTCTGTCCAGAAATACCTATTTAATCTCCCATCCCAGTCTATCAAGTGTCTGGTCCTGCACTAATGGATTTCATGTCACTACTACCAAATTCATAGCTAGCATTTAGCTCTTGGCAAGCTTCCGGGTACAGTCACCCTTCTGCAGGCATAGGGAATATCTGCTGGTCTGAGACTCCAAGGAATAAGAGAAGCTAAGAGTATGGCATGATGTCAGTGAAAATGTAAATAGGTAGAAATGAGAAAGACAAAAAGGTAAGGCAGGTAAGGGAGGGGGAAGAAAGCAGGGGAAAAAAAAAGGCCAAAAGGAGACATTACAGTGATAGAATACAAGGTTGAAAAGAGGCCAAAAGCTTGCCAAGAACTTTTTTCCACCCCCCATCTACTCAGTGGGTCTAATAAAAGATATCACATCTACTCAAAGAACCTTGCCTGCCTATTTCCTTAGGCCAAAACAGCTACAACCAAAAACCTAGCTAGCAATTGTCACTTTCCCAGAAGGAACAGCCCTAGAGGTTAAGGTTACTTCAATGTTCAAGAACATTTATGAGCCTGGGCAACAGAATCAATGAAATGAAGAAAGTGGGGAAGAACAAAATGAATAAACGAAACACAAAATGAATAAACAACACACAAATTATATTGGATCAATTGCCCCTTTATATATCAAACCTAGTCTCTTTCTCTCCTTCCTGCATTGTGACAATCCCCTGCCACTCTCCCAACAACAGTTCTTTTTAAGTACAGCCTACTCCCTGCGGGTCTAGAGCAGTGGTTCTTAACCTTTATAGACTCAAGGCACCCCTGGATAAATTCAAGGCACCCCTTGGAAAATACCAGCTTTTATTTTTCTCTCTCTTTTTGCCTGCAGAAAAATAATAAAGCAGTTTTTCTGTTGCAAAGAACTCAGAAAGACCACAACTATGGATTTCTATTTGAAATCTCTGAGTTTATCTTGTGAATCATGCTGTGACATCCTGGTTGAGAATCACTGGTCTAGACTTAATAAAGAACTGTTCAGTCTTGGGGCTATTTCAGGAATGAAAAGCACTACAGAAATATAACTTAACTCCCACTTTCCATTCATAGTAACATTCCACATTAAAAAAACCCAGCTCATGAGGCCTAAAAAATCCTCATTTGCCCCTCCAGCTTACAAGCTTGAAATATTAAGTGACCGCTAATCATTCTGGTATAAGTTTAAAAGACTGCCCAGGGACCAACTGGAATTATTAGCAGAGGCAAATTAATGACTAACTACAGATTTTTTTTTCCTGCTTACTACTGCTTTCCATTTGGGACCCAGCTAGAACAAACCTTTTTTTTTTTTATTCAGGGAAATAGTTCCATCTCCCATATTTCTCAGGTTCCTGGGAGATAACAGCACTTGTATGATAAGCAGCAGACTGATGCTTAACTC